GTGGTGAGCTCGGCTATGGCACGGGAGGACCGCGAGGCGTGGGAGCGTCTCGAGGCCGAGGCCGCCGACAAGGCCCACATGCAAGAGCTCTGTCGGCAGCACCCGGAGCTCGTGGAGGCAGAGCGGGCGATCTTTGTCGGCGCGGAGGGCAATGAGGTCGAAGGCGGCGGCGACAGCGGCGCGAAGGGCGTCAAGGTGGGCCCCGAGGACGAGGAGATCGACGTCGACGAGTGGAGGAGTGCCTTCTCCAACGACCCCGACAATGGTACTAGCCTAGACCCGGCTCGCGGCACACCGTACGTGACGAGGAAGGAGTGGCTCGACCTCTACTTCGACCGAAAGTAGTTTAGCTTAGTTTAAATTTATGTTTTATGTTCGGTTATGCAAAACTATCTATGTTTATGTTTGAATGCATGTTACTTTTGGTTGAACCTACTTTGAACTTGATCAAATTGAAGTTTACAACCTTAAGTTTAGGGTATATATATATATATATATATATATATATATATATCCACTAAGGGTTTTAGTCCTTTAACTTTTTAAGGATCGCCTAGAGATGTCCTTATGACTTGTTTATTTCAGTTCTTCACAATGTGATGCTCTATATGTGCAACTATTTGCTGTGCAGTTCAATTTCATTAATAACAGTTTCAACAATACCACTATGAATTATGATATTTAGTTGTTGTTAAGGATATTGCGGTTAACATGCCTTTTCGTTTTTCAATTGTTGTTTAGCAACATGCATTGTACTGAATGACTCAATATGCAATCCCAGACTACATAGCAATAAGGAAGAGTGTTACCTTAATATTATGATGATGTCTAGATATACATGTAATAAAATCTTATATAATGAGATGGATGGAGTGTTGTACTACATCATTTTTCAATTGTTGTTTAGCTTCTAATATTAACTTGGTGCTTTTAGGTACATATATCATTGCCAAAGATCCACACTTCGACCCTTTCTGCGTATGGGGCAATGAGATATTCATAAACCAACATCAAGCGGGGAAACTGATAAAGATTGTTACTAAATTGGGTCAAAAGATGTCAAATGAACTATTTGTTTACACTTTATGCAAGACAACAGTGCACTGCAAGATGGTGAGTAAGAACCCTGTAGCCTTCGTTTTACTGCCCGTGATGAGTTGTGTTAGATGACAATATCTGAATCTTTTTTTATCTTTTGCAGTGGATTCTGAAGCAGTTTACTCAAGATTACCTCTCAAACTACATGATTGGCGGCCGACCATCACAAGGGGTTGGACTAGAGTCATGCATGCCTTCTGCATCCAGGAGAGCACAATAGGGCCATTCCGCTTCACCTTGTTCAGTAATTGGAATGCATATCGTCTCTTTCTTTAACATCTGTAATAGTACAAGTATAGAACCCTGGTACATCATTCTTTATTTTGTGCTTCTGTAATTCTTAAACATATGTACCTGTGAATCGAATAATGCATTGGTTGTTTGAACCTGATGGATATGAATAAAGCTATAGCCTACTTTCAAGTTTAAATTAGATACAATGTTAAATAGCAGCAATTAAATTAAGGCAAACTTACGTTGTGCAGGTCATTACTGCACACACAGTTGATAAAACACAAATGTGTGTGATATACACCATAATCCGAGACGGTTCACAGAGACGAAACATGTGTAAGCATGCACACAGTTGCCGTTTCCAAAGCGTGTGTGATGTCAGACACTGTCACATACGGTGCGGGAAAACTAAATATGTGTGATTGTCTATCTATCGTATACGGTTTATAATCATGAACTATTTGTGATGTGTCAGGTATCGTAAATCTCCCGTGCCTAGAATCTGCCTAGAAAACTGTCGTTCCTTGAATCTGCCTGGTTTTAGGCAAAACCACAAAACTCCGACTGCGATGGCAATGCGAGTACAAATGAGTGGCAAGGATGAAGCGTTTGGGATATTTGAGATATCGAAAACGGTTATACAGGGACAACTATATGCATCAAGGCTCCCTATCCCCGACGGTTTCTGGGTCGTGTGGGAAGGACCTCCTATCACCCACACTCACTTGGAGACGGTTCCATATGCCGCGCGGAAAGGGGTTAAAAACCGTTTGTTTAGAACCGACGTGCACTAGTGATGTATCTTCTTGTCAGACTTTTATTAAATAATTAATAAAAATGGTTGTATACATCGATTGATGTAGAGGCCCGGGAGTTTAACCTCCTTTTCTAAAAAGAAGGTTTATGTGGTACTTCACTGCTAGTGGTAACTATTGATCTTTAAAGTTCTGTTGATCCTTGACGATCGAGCTGCAGCGCTAGCGGCTGTCAGGTGGTCGATGTCCCCCGTGTGCTGACCTGTCGCCCGACAAGTCGGCCCACCCTATCATAAACAGGGTTAAATTCGTTGAGTCGGTAGTTTTTTGCCAAAAACTAGACTTAGAGTGATGTTATTTTGACAAAGTTTATAAAGTGGTAGTTTTTCGTCATGGTTGGTCAAGTTGTGGTACTTTTTTTATTAACTCTCCTAAGATTTGAGATGGGTTAAAATGCAGCCTCCAAGAGCTTATCATCTTTATGGATGGGTTGTTGGACACTAAAAAGGTTTTAGGGATGGATTAGATTAGCCCTTACCATCGACTAAACCTTCAACTGAACGCCTACTACCTGAACTTGTAGTAGTACTATAGTATTCTTAGGCTACATAAGCTTTCAAGCTCAATCTGGATGGTTGGCAGACAATACATATCGAATTTTCGTCATCAACCGGGGATGATTAGGAGGACAAATAGACAAAGGAATTGACTAATTCGTACAGCATCGATTAATGGTGTCCTTGCTTATCACAAACGAAAAGAACGTGAGAACGACGACTTGATGGTGACCCTATACTTTTTGATGTAATTTCTCTACCAAGTCATTTTCGGAATCACACAAGAAGCCAACCTGATAATTAATTATGTCAGCATCCGACATGATTTATTTATTTATTTATTCATATGTTTTTCCGCATAATATGGAGTACAGGACATGAGCACACTCCAGTGCGAGACAGCGTGTCGCTCTTAGTGTCAGTGTACAGGACGCAATTTTCGCCCATCATTCACTTTTAGGTAGCAAGATCACCTTTTTTCATGGGTCTATCCTTAATTTGCCACTCCCTAATTCGACAAAATAATTTTCCTCACACTGGGTAAGCCAATGTTTTTTTTTTCTGAACAGGTCAAATGACCTAGTAAAGTATTTCCCTCACACCGGGAGAGGATGTGTCTAGCAAATGTTACAATACGAGAATGACACAATTGCAACCAATGCCCTCTATGCGAGCAAGTGCAAGAATCGGCAGTCCACCTCCTTTTCAAGTGTCGGTTCGCAACTCGAATTTGAAAGGAGGTGCTCTCTTGGCTGGATCTTCATGTCGACACGACACCTTGGCATAGGTTTTACACGGTCAAGGCTTGGTGGGAAGGGGTCGGCAACACTGCGCAAGAAAGAAAAAAGGGCCCTTTCCTCCTCCATCCACCTTGTCGCACAATGTCGGTGGCGCTATTAAGGTGAAAGCTTCGCTTTGGGTTTTTGCAGGTGCCAACCACTTAAATAATGTAATGCCGCGGGAGTAATCCGTTATCTTTGTGCCGCTTTTGTGTTGTGTGTTGTGCTACTTTGCGTGCAGCGAGTGTGTGCGTTTGCTTGTTAGGTACCGTGTTGAACCTTGTGCTCGGTGGTTTGTTTTATATATACATAAAGCAGCGGGTGTGTGTGTTTGCTTGTTGAGTACCGTGTTGAACCTTGTGCTCGGTGGTTTGTTCTATATATATATATATATAAAAAGCAGGGCGAAAACCTTTTTCGATAAACTCCTCTTCTTAATGTATGAAAATGGC